TATGGGGAATGTGGCCATTGAGGAGACAGCAAAATGACACAATAAATGCATATACATACTTTTACTGGTATTATTTTTGAAGAATTTTAAAAAACTTTAAAAAAACATAGAGTTAGAAGAATTTATGTCCTTTTAATAATTTATTATTTTTAAACTCTCGCAACATGTTTCTCATAGCAAAATAGTTTTGTTCAGCCAACGATTGACCATACTTGCTGGGAGGGTGTCATCACACCAATGCGTTCAATGTGACATGTAAAATCGGACCAAAACCACGCCTGCTTTGCATAAATCAGAATTTTAAATATGAACACATATGATTCTATAACTTCACAGTATAAAAATCAAGTGCCCATAAATACATCGCAACATTGCACAAAAAGCGCCTTTGGTATATGCAGTCTCACGTTTAAAAATTGTTGAAATCGATCATAATTTCCCGAGCCCCCAAATACCGTATATGTGGAACTCAATGCCTATGACTGACTTTTTTCCGAAAATACCTGTAAATTTGTGAGATTTATTATTAAAATTCAGAGAAAACTTTTTACAATAATTATGTGCCCTTGTTTCACAAATGGGTAAAATCAATCTGATAATTCCCCGCCGCCATTGAGTTGGTGCTGCAATTTTCGGTTGAGCATGATCCCAATTAACGCTGATCTGGCACTGAACTTAGGCACCCATAAGGGCCTACGTCAACCCTTGCGTGACCTCCCTGCAATGCAAAGATAATCACGGGATCAACACAGCGATTGCACATAGCGAGCGGCGACAGCGGCCTTGAGGGGGGACTCAATCACATAAACATGAACAATTTAACAGAACCAAAACGCATTAATACCACAACGGAACTACGAGCAGACGGCGTTTAGGAGAAGCTCAGCAATAATGAGGACGCCTCCACTACATACTAGACGCGAAAACAGTATACCAGTAAGCGTCGAGCAAGATACATTGGCGAATCCGACACCTTTGGTCAGAAGGGACGATATCGGAGGAAATAGCAGTCTTCTAGCAACTTGGCGAACAAGTAGAAAATCTTGTAGCCATGCTTAAGGATGGGAAAAGACGATCTATACACCAAATGAAGTCGGACCCCAGATAACAAGACCTCGACGACTGAAAGACGAAACTCAAATAGCACTTATTTGTCTCTCCTTAGTGCAAATAAAATAAGAATAAGCTGGGTCAATTGTAGGACCCGAGAAGTCGCAAGACCAGTGCGCTGCTTCAAATGTCTTGAGTTTGGACATATACTACGCAACTGTAATACCACTGGCTCTTGTTTCATATGCGGAGAGAAAAGTCCAATGCAAAAGGTTGTAGTAAAGTGTGCTATGCCCACAAGGCGGAAATAAGCACCCAACTGGCAGTTACAGCTACCCAGCGTACAAAAAGGCTGTTGGAAAAACTTGGACGAATGATTAGGTGCCTCCAACTGAACCTGAACCACTGCTCAGCAGCCCAAGCACTACTGACAATAACCGCATCAGACCTCAACACAGACGTACTACTACTCAGCGAACAGTACAAAACCCCAAGTAGTGACAGTGACTGGACTGAAGACAAAAGCTTAAATTTCGCGATATGGACTTTTAGCAATCTACCATTTGAAGAAGCTCCAAAAAGTCAAGATAATGGCTTTGTATATGCAAAGATAAAAGGCATAAGTTTCTATAGTTGCTACGCTGCCCCCAGCCTACCTCTTACGCAATTTCAGGACATGCTCTTCTAGCTCACAACGCACTCAAAGGAAAGGTACCTTAGCAGTGGTAGCTGGCGATTTTAATGCATGGGTGGTCGAATGGGGAAGTACAATTACAAATGCCAGGGGTACATCCCTACTATCATCATTCGCAAATCTCGACTTAGTACTTCTTAACAACGGACGCAAACCAACTTTTATTAAAGGTAGGGCATCGTCTTATATTGAACTCACCTTTGTAAGTTCATCGATGGTTTCACAGACATCATGGCAAGTCTCCGAAATATATACTCATAGTGACCACCAAGCCATAACGTTCGATATAAATCCGCGACAGTATCAGCAGTACGATGCTCAAAAATATGACAAAACAATGGTAAAACCCAGCGACCTAGAAATGCTTGAATATGCCATTGGGCAAATCAATGAAGACACACAAGGTGATGCCCAAAGCCAAACGAAAACCATAACGAAATCACTTACAATGGTCTGCAATGCCGCAATGCCACAAAGGAAGATTACCCTGTTACCTTACCCTTACAAAGCACCCTCGTACTGGTGGTCCGAAGAAATCGCTCAGCTGAGAACTGAATGCTTCAGGTTTCGATGTAGGCAACAACGGGTTAGAGGAAGACGCGATTTTGAGGAACTCCTTGTCAACTTCCGGAAGAAGTGGAAATAGCTACATAAAGCAATAGCGAAGAGTAAGAAAAACACTTTCAACCTGCTCTTGTCCCAAGTAGAAAATTACTCTTAGGGAAAAACTTATCAGATAGTGATGAGGAAACTCGGAAAATCAAAAAGACCCCCTATATCTCCCATTATCTTGCCCGAGATAGTTAGTGCCCTGTTTCCAAGATGTGAACCCATGCGAGTGCCAGTTTTTCTAATATATATGGATGAAATACCAGAAGTGTCCATGAGGAACTGAAACATGCAGTGACAAGGAGAAAGATCGGAAAAGCACCTGGCCTGGACGGAATACCCAATTTCGTTATCAAGCACGTCACAAAAAGAAAACCCGAACTGTTTCGTCAAGCGTATACAAGTTGTTTGAGCAACGATGCAACGGCTCGTTCTTCTCCCAAAGGGTGACAAACCTCCGGAAGAACCCTCATCGTATCACCCTCTCTGCATGCTCAATACGGCAGGAAAAGTCCTGGAAACAATAATATGTAAACGGCTTGAGAAATACACTGAATAAGACTGTAGATTGGACCCAATGCAGTTTGATTTCGGAAAGGACGAAGCACCGTGGATGCCACAGACACCGTCACAAAACTAGAAAAAAAAGCACTGGAAGGGAATAGATGGCGATGTGGTGATAAACATTACTGCGTTGTCATTACCCTCAAATGGACGCTAATTATAAGGGCCCTGAAAGAGTTAAAGAGCCCGGATTACCCTTGTCGAATTGTTACGAGCTATTTCAAAGACAGAGTTCTGGCTTACGATACCGAACTCGGTCCCGAAACTTCAAAAATTACTGGCGGTGTCCCACAGGGTTAGTTCTTGGTCCTGTCTTGTGGAATAATGTATGACGGAGTTCTAAGAGTAGCGGTGCCGAATACAGTAAAATTAGTAGGATAGGTAGGATAGGTAGGAAAGCGAAATCATAATGCACTAGACTTTCTACCTGTATTCTCACGGTAAGTGAGATAATATTCGCACTTTAAGATTTTAAGATTCAAATTTAAAATGTTATATTTTAAATACTGAAGGCGATTGAGACTGACTATAGTCATTTAAAAGCTGTGTATAGGTCTATATTACCTTTTACTAATTCACTCAAATGCTCTGCTTTCTTAACACACAACCATTTCTTCTTTCGAAAACAATTTCTAAAAACATATCTCTTACTAAGTAGAAGATCGAGATTAATTTTGTCTCTTTAACAAATAAAATTGTTGTCATCTAAACATTCTCATTAAATTCATACGACACTAGCGGTTAGAGTATTATAATCAAAACTGTTTGATTAGAGAAAGAAAAACTGCATACGTAGGTTGCCTTTTATCTTTCGTGTTTTGCCAAGCCTACCTCACCCGACCCAACCCTAGTGTTACAAGCTGGCAACTCACAACTTTATCGTAAAGTTTGACATTTTTGACATACTCAGAACGTTTTGACATACGAGTGTATTTTCGTTGTTTACAGTAACATAAAATATTCATGATCATATCCGGCCAAAACATGGAATAAAATCGTGAAAGTTTTTGACGTGGATTAATTCAGCAACAGCGCATCGATGAACTTAATTCAATTTTTGGCGATGAAACTTCATCATGGGCCAGTGTTTATTGATGCTATGGTGAATTCAATCGACGTCATAGATCAATCCTAGACGAATTTCGTGAAGGTCGTCCAAAATCAGTTGTTGGTCCGGAAACTATTGATGCTGTGCGTAAACTGATATTGCAAGATCAGCGTGAGATTAAGACAACTATAGGCATCATTTAACTGTAAAAAATTCTGTTCACGTTGAATTCCCGAAAAATTAGACGTTTTCTTAAAGAATGTAGATAAAAATCTTCATTCATTCATCTGAAATAGTTCTTGTATTTTCTTTAATCGCCAAAATTAGTATATTCATTCAGATCCACCTAACAAACTAACGAATTATATTACTTAAGCCACAATGAACTATTGACATATGATTTATTCCTAGATATTTAATTCGTTTAATAATTACGAATGGAAACATATCAATTCCAAACCAGGGATTTTAAAACTGTTCTTTCTTTTTGATTCAACATTTTTACCTTTTTTTTTAAATGTTATCTTAAATACTTTGCGTTGCTGCAGTGATTAACAGCAATCGAGTTATATCGCTCAAACATAATAAACTTACTTCGACGTATACAAAGGTCTATTAGTTGACGGTTATCTATTCATTTAGATAAAAAACATTGAAATTATATATGAATGTAAGTAAGATATATATACTATATATGATCTACTTTGCTATGAAAGCAACCCATGTTTTATTCTCAAGAACCTAATATGTTTCGATGTAGTATACGTCAGACAGCGAAATTAAGATTTATTGTTTATCAATAATACTGATCCATACATGAGGTCCATCGTTCAAACACTCTTGACATTAAGTAAATAATCCTTATTGATGCAATTGATTTAAGACATAATATTTATGTATAATAGTGCTCTATAAGTCAGTAACTACTGTGAACAGAATGCCACAAGGTTCAGAGAGGACGTTACGGAATCTTTATAGCTTAAACAAAATTCCGAGACTAAAGCTAAATACCCTATTTATTATTCTAAAAATTTGCACTGATGTTTAGTTAACACTGAAATTTCTTTAATGAGGTTCGGTTTAAAATCGAGCTAAATTTTACATTTGATCCAGGGTTTTCAATATACTATTATATTTCAAATCTTGTTGTTAGGGTGGTGCAATGTGATGGATGAATTAGTTTTATTAAAGAATTTTGTTATAGCACAGTTAACCTTTTAGTGATGATACCACAACACTAACTCTTAACCAAGCAATAAGAACAATAAGCATACAAGTAATTAGCATATCATTAAGTTTATCTCTCACTGATTTGGCGAAATAAGATAGCGAAAAGTCATAAAACCACGATGTAGCAGACCGCGGCGCTTCACTCCGAACAAATTTAAAATAACATAGTGTCTTCTACCCCGAATGAGTTCAGACCAACGTATCGAATTATGGAAACAAATACTAAAATGGAGCCAACAAAAGTTAGCCCCTTAAGAGTCAACACTGTGCGTATCTTTAGCTTAGCCAGTGCCTTACTGCTCACAATGATAATTACGGTGATGTGTATCGGATTTCTAATGAGTTATGAGGTGGCCACTGAGGTATCCAGCATAGAGGACATACCCTATTGGAAGGACAAACTGCCGCCGGAGCAACAGTTATGGTACGATGAAGCAATTGAAGAGCTACAGTTGGCGTTGAAAAGAGACTTGCGTAAGCAGCTGGCGAATAATACAATCATCTTCCTGACGAGCGGCATTGATACGGAGACAATGGCCGCAGCGCGTGCATTGCTAGCGAACCGAACCAAACCACAGACAGTGTTGAGCTGGGAGCGATTTCCACATCTCGGCAGATTGAAGGTTGTGTGGCAGATTATTATTTTTTTTTTTGTGTTACTAGTAAAGAGAAACCTATACATTTTTAGAATAGTTGCAGCAGCACGGATCTCTGTGATCCATTCACTGTAGCCAGCGCCATTTTTAATGGTGTGCGCTCCAACTTTCGTGTCGGTGGACTCGATTCTGGTGTGTTGTTTCGCGATTGCGCTGCTGCGGCAAATGTTAGTCATCATGTGAAGAGCTTAGTAGAGCAAGCGCAGAAGACTGGACTACGTACCGGATTTGTGACTACCCTACGTGTTACCGGCGCAAGCATGGCGGCGTTGTACGCACGTACACCGAACACAGCTTGGGAATGTGATGCTGCATTGCCGGTAGCAGCTACCGCTGCCGGTTGCGTTGACGTGGCGCAGCAACTGATCAAAAGTAAGACTGGTCGTAATGTGAATGTGATCATGGGTGGCGGGCGACAGACGCTCGTCTCGAATGTGCCCAACACGGTTTGGGATCCCGTCGACGAAACAACTTGCAATTCGCAGGACAGTCGTAATATCATCAGCGATTGGCAGTTGATGAATGTGAAGCTGAAGCGCAACTTCGCCGTGTTGCTGAATAGGGACGACTTACGCGAGTTGAATGGTACTAATGTCGACTATGTCATGGGTATTTTCGCTAACAACAATTTGCAGCACACAAATGATGTGGATGCGCGTAGGCGCCGCGTTCCACAATTATCCGAAATGATAGCGAAAAGCTTAAAAGTGTTAAAGCGTAAAAACAAGAGATATCTGTTGGTTGTGGAGAGTGGCGTCGAGTCCACAGCAAGTGTAGATAAGCAAATGGGTACTCTATTGCAATTAAATGACGTAGTGGAGCAGACTCTGAACAAAAGGTGAAAAATTAGTTGAAGTTCTTTATTTGCTTTTTATTATTTTTGAATTTATTAGTGAAAGTGGAACGCTGGTTTTGGTGCTTTTCACCAATGGCAAGTATGTACGTAATGCAGTCGAAAGTAGTGCTGAAACAGATGTTACAGCTAACGTGGTTGACTTTGGGAGTGAAGGAAACACATCTATAGACAGGCGTTTATTCGATATGGCCACGGAAGCTGTAGTTTATGCAAAAGGTATGACATGGAACACATGCGATGCTAATATTATTATCTTCATCACGTGAAGAAGTTTGTTAAGATTTTCGGACAGTTTATTATATTCCAAGACTTTTGACCTAAGTTGTATCTTAAGACCGATATAAAGTTATGAGAAAACGTTTTTCTTTTAGACTACCGACCACTTTTCAAACCTTCATTCGTTCCTATAACTTATTCAACTCACTTGATTATGATGGTACTTCAATTTCAAAAATTTAATTTCGACTGAAAGAACGAACGATTATTTAAAAGTACTGCAAAGAAGATTAAGTTGAAGTCTATCCTTTTCGAGTTCGCGCCAGTTGTACATATCTGGTTGAAGTGAAACCTGCTGGTTTCGAGTTAATACACTGAGGATTGATCAAGATATGGTCTGACCTTGATCAAATCGTCAGCTTTCTCTTCGCTCGATACGAAATGAGATGTTCTGCTATCAATCTTAGCTGCATATAAAAGCCTGCATTTAAAAGCCTTCATTTTATTGTTGAGGATACTGTGAACACCTTATTAAATATAGACAAATCGTGTCTTTTGAACTCCGTTGATAATTGAAATCATGGAAACATGTCAGCTCTTTATAAAAAACATCAGTTAAAATCAAGTCCTAAAATTGAGTGAGGGGCTTTCCGAATAGAGCATTTCAACTCAAGTTATATATATATATCTTTACAGTTTTGAGGAGTGAAAAATGTAGTAATACACCTATTACGGGATCCATCCCATTGCTAGTTAAATATCAATTATGCATTGTTCGCGTCTAAAAATAGTCTGAGCAATAACCCCTTTCCTAAATTATGTAGTTATAATATTCTTGTCTCCGTTATAGGACCACGGTCTTACCTGCTACATGGCGTTCACGAGGAAACTTATATGTCGTATGTCTTATCTTATGCATTACAAATGGGTCATTTCAAGCCAAGTTCCGATATCGAAAAAAGGCATAGATAAATGGTTATATTTGCATTTTTATTAATTACATTTTATTAATTAAAACCAATAATTATTACATTAAATACTCGTTTAAGTACATATGTTTTTGTGTATATATTTTATTTAGCTAAGGAAAAAATCTAAAATTCAAAACTATCTACAACCTCTCCATATCATTTAACACTTACGCAACACCTCTAAATATTTCCATTGTATGCCGTTAAGGGTACCGCTACAGCTGCCGTATCTGTTGTTCTTGTTTCTCGTGTTGTTGTTGCGGCCGGTAACCAACTGAAATGTCGTGGAACCGCAGCAGCAGCATTGACTGCATTCAAACCATTCGGCGGTGGTCCGGCCGCTGCCGTCGGCAACTGTGACAATTCTCTGCTCAGAGTTGTTGTTGTCGTTACAGTGGTACCGAGTGCGATGCGCGGCACAGGACGCACAATGTTGGGTCATTTTGCAATTAAGGCGGTGGGCGGCGGTACATGTGGTGGGCGTGGTGAAAAGGCTGTCGCAGCGGCAGTTAAGTTTCGCAAATGGTTCGCCTGCACATATTGGAAGGCGGAAGAGTGATCCAAGTGCTGGGAGAGGTACAATTCGCCCAGTGAGTAAAAGCGTCGCTGATCAAAGGCTGGGAAGGGAAACGGATTGAAACGTTGCGGATACGGCTTGATCGTGTGCGGATGGGCGACGCCAAAATGCTGCGATGCCTGTGTATGTGGTGCGCGTGGCACTGGTACTGTAGCCGTTGCGTTGGTGAAGGGGAACTGACTTTTAGACTGTTGCATTGGATGGGTGAACGCTGGATTTGCAATTGAGTTGGAGTTTTTGAAGATTTCCAAAGATTTGAGATTCTCCAAAATCTGATGGGAAGCTTGATGTTTTTTCAGGTAGGCATGGCTGTAAGATAATAAAAAGGAGTTGAACGATGTAAGTGTGGGCTGATTTTTGGGCATAATGATGTAACAGAAATTTTTGTAAATTGTGTATACATAAAATTTTTGGAATATTTCGGGAGGTCTTCTATTTTGACGAATAAATTATCTCTTAGAGCGTCAGCCATACAACGGGAAATCTATAATATTTAAAATCTTAATATCCGAAATATTTATATTCTTTCGCGATATAAAGTTGTTTGGCATATTAACGATCAATTTCTCTTACAATTTTCTTCAGGCTCTTTCTTATGATGCCAGACATACATTATGGAAAGCACAATGCACGGAAATTTGCATATTCGATAAGGTTTAGGCCCGGTCTCACTGATTTTTGGTACGAATTTATGTTTGCTTAAGGTATTCATATTTTTAAACCCATAATTGTAATCAAGCAAAGTCCAAACTTAAACTTGAGTTTTACTTACCGTCGGAAATGTTTGCCACAGTGCGTGCAAGGATAGACACCCTCCGCCCCGTCGTCGACGAGATTCACCTTCTCGTGCCGCATACCAGCCACTGCTCCTGTTTGTTCGTTCAAGTGTCGCTTCTTGCTCTGTCCGCTGCTCGCCATTAACTCGGACTTTGGCTTATGCCAACGGCGATGTGAAGCCAAATTAGCGGGACAATTGAAGACCTAAGCAAAAAAAAAATAAATAAATTGATTGTCTGAAAACTGCCTGAAGTTCGCTCCAGCAACCTTTTCGCACTCCGAACACTTATACTCGATGTGCACGATGCGCGGACAACGGTGTTGCGCTAGTTGGAATGCGTCATCGTATAGAGTACGGCACAGCTGGCACAAGTAATCGCCGATTTTGTTGTCGATGCTGGCCAAAATCGCCTTAGCTTCTTCGGTGATTTCGACCACATTGAAAGCCGGATCAATGTCACCTTTGCGCACCACCAACTCTTCGTCGTCGCGTAGCTTTCGTATAATGGTGCCCGAGACAGGGCTGATGGTCTCCTCATCGATCGTCTGATGATGCTTACGCAGCTTCATGCGTTTTCGCTCCGATTTATGCGAACGTTGCTGATGTGTTCGTCCAAAACTATTAGCTTTCGCTGGTGGCTTCTCTACATGTGCCGCTCTAATGTGTTCACTCAAGTCTGCCTCATTTATTGCTGTCAATACGGTATTTGTTTGTTTTCTAGTCAGTAAATTATTATCTTGCCTCTTCTCCACATGAGGTACTAGAAAGTCTTTTTCGAATAATTTCGCCAAACCGTTGATGGCGCGATGATGTAACTCCTCATTGTCGTAGATGAGTTTGTTGCGTGTCAAAGCTTTGCCGGACTTTGCGATCTCCTCCTCCAATTCCTGACACTGCAGACGCTGTGTGAAATTGGCGCTATTGAGCGGATTTAAGTCATCGTCGTCGTTGCCCAGTATATCGACATACTCCTCTTCCTCATCTGCCGTCTCCATCTCTTCATTATCAACGCTTTCCCTCGCGCATCTGTTCTGACTTTCATTACTGCTGGCATCTACGTACATTGTTGTTGTTGGCCTGAAATCAGTCATCCTGCTCGCCAGTACAGCCGCAGCTTCTTCATCTTCGTCATCGTCTTCGTCGTCGATTTCCTCGTTATAATCGTGTGAACTGACAAGTGTGTCCTCCTCATCCTCAGTCAATACAATCGTTTCATCGTCCACGCAAATAATGGGCAATGGGCTTTGTTGTGGCGACCGTTGCATTTCATCCGGTTGTTGCTGTAATCTTGCTTCGTGTGGTATGGTTGGCATTGGCATTGCGGTTGCTTGACTTTCTGGAATTTCTTTAAAGCTGCTCCGCACATCGTGTAAACTGTTTTTATATCCGCTAGACGACGTTGTGTGCTGCATCGGATATTCGTCGTGGCGACAGTCGTACGCTAACGGTAGTTGAGATAGGTAATTGCTACCAGCACTAACTTCCTTTGCTGTGTGTGTGGATGAGGGTCTGCCAGTTGCTGGTAGCAACGGTGTTAACGGTGTTTGTTGATTTGCTCCCATGGCGTGCGGTCGCCAAAGATAATTCTCGTCTGACATTAATCTTTGACGCTTTCGTGGCGGTGAGGGTGTTGAGGGTGGCGTAATCGGTATTAGATTGGTGGCGCGCAGCGATAAGTCAAGTGGCGAAAGCAGTGTAGCAATTGATCGACCGAATTGTGGAAATGTTTCATTGATGTTGGGCAGAACTTTGCAATCCGTATATTGTTCGTTCAACATTTTTTGTTTTTCTTTGCTCAGCTGAGTGGAGGGAGAGATTAAAAAGAAGTTGGTTTTGAAACTATGATCCGAAGGTATTTGTATCCAAATGCAAGAAGCTACATAAACCAGATAGCCTTATTAAATTCGCTTCTTTTTAATGTGTAACGGATTAATTTATATTTTTTGTGAACCATCAGTCATTATAAGAAAACATCTGGTTGAATTTAAAAAAAATAAACTACAGCACCATTCGGGAACTGTCCAGTTTACAAATAAGAGTTCATAATTTGTATAAAGTAGATTCCACGAATAATTAAAAGATTGTTCGTATAAATTTTTTTAGAAGTATATGACACAAACCTAAAAACACTTTAAAATTATGTTCTGGAAAAACTTGGAAGAGTTTCGTAATCGTCTCAATCGATTACTTTGAAAATCATATAGCAATTTATATTAATCTGAGTAGTGTTATAAATGGATAAGTTATGAGGGGCCGAGTTCTTAGAAGATCTTGCTGAGCGCTGGAATTAAAAGAGTAAAAATTCGGACGACGAAAGTTGATCTATAATATGGAAGTAGCAGACTATAAGCCCATGATATCAGAATAAGGGTAGATTCTGTTAAGAAGTTTAAAAACCAAGGAAAAAGATCTAAATAGCACTTGGAATACTAGCTGATCTCCGAACGATATAAAGGAAATTCTAGAATATCGAGTTTAACCTGCGTAAAAGCTAACTATGATATCTCATTTCCCAATTTTTTCTCACAGATCTAGTAAGAGGAAAATGTTTAAGAATTAGTTAGAGAAGATTATAACTAGGTTGGTAAAAGAAAGAAATTTTAACTATCTTGAAACGATATTACCTTCTCCCCTCATTCTTTCGTCTAATTAATTATTTATAAAATTATTTATGGTTTAAAAATTTTGAGAGCGTCATATGGAAAATAATAAAGCATATAATAGGTTTAAAATTCCTGAACATTGGTTAAACTAAAGAATATTAGTTAAAGCGACATATTTTTCTCAGCAGTCGTTAGCAATATCTCAATTAAGCCATCACTCGACATAACCTCTCAACACAGATGTGTAGTTGAACCGAATTTCAATGAAATATAGAGTCCTTCCCACAAAATGATATATACGTTTTATATATAGTGGAGGGTAATATCTTCCTATTCCTTTATTATCGTATGACCCCACAACACAATTATATTATACCCTAAACAGTAGGGGTTTTTTTTTTTGTTTATCCTGAGGGTAGATTATACAAGTAGATCTGTAGACTATAAAAAAAGAAAATTGTTGGACAAAAAAAAATTTTTTTACATCTAGAAGCGGCCAACTCAGTTTTAAAGAAAATTTCGTGTTGAAACTTTTTTTGGACAAGAAAAAATTATTTTTGGTTTAAACTCTTTACATTTATATAAAAACTACCGAATGTGACGGTTTTTCACTCCAAATTTATTTTAACGCTTAAGGAAAGCATGTGGTCGTTTAAGACTTTTTTTTAAACTCCAATAATGACCACAAAATTTTTTTTTAAATTGATAACTTTGAAGTGACCTGAAAAAGGACTCTCCACAGCTTCAAGAACACTTATCAAAAATTTTTAACGAAATTTTTTTTTAACTCGAAAATTTGCTTTAAAACTGAGTTAAAAAATTTTTTCAAAAACATTTTTTTTTATAATCTACAAATTTTAAACTCAGGCTAAGCAAAAAAAAAAATTCTTTCGCTCCACCCGACTGAACAGGATACACTAAGTTTTTCACGAAGTTTGTAACACCCAGAAGGAAGCGTCGAAGACTCTCTAAAACTCTGGATCACTATAGCTGCCATAAGAACTGAACGATCGGAATCAAGTGCTTGTATGGAAAGCTCTTTCTTTTGAAGAGATATATTTCCGAAATTTTGTATGGATTATTGTTTAAGGCAATGGTGCAATATCCAAAAAAATTGCTGCCAT